CCCCAAAACCCCAAAACCCCAAAACCCCTAAAACTATATAAGGAATCTTATCTGTGAAATTAATAATAAAATCAAAATTTAAATCAATCAAAGATATACTAATTTCACTAATCCTAATTTTACGAAATGGAAAATTCAAACCCTAATAAATACAATACCAAAGAATCACCTCAACCTAGAATGAAGAGATCTAGATCGTACTGCAAGGTATACTCTCCTGTCGCTAATCATTAAATATAGTTAATACCTTAAATTGGGACTGAAAATTTGGTACCTCCACTTGTGTTCTCCCCTGGTAAAACTGATGAGGCAAATTTGAAGTTGCTTAGTCCTAAGGATAACTCAGCAACAATGTATACAAAACCCCACGTTGATAACCAATAATAAAGATAGATTGATACCTCGAGCAATAATGAAAAAGAAAAGAATACAAAGTACATGTTCGACATTGTTAGTGACATTATTCACTTCTAAGTTGGCACTATTATGTACACTAAAATCAAATCAGATCACTAAAAGGAGAATAAAAAAAGATTCATACCCATATTCCCTTTCTTATATGAGGATACTAATTAAGGCCACAATGTTAACAATTGCTAGTTTTAAATGCCGAATCCACCTAAAGCGTAAGTCAACCAAATTTATTAAAATCTTTTAAAGATCGAAATTTTAACTTTAATTTAATAATAGATTTATTAATAATGGTAATGCTAATTTTATATCATCAGAAATTACTAATGACAACTATGCTGACCTGAAAAATGAAATTAATCAGCAAAAGCAAGAAGAAGAGAAGAAAAATTCTAAAATCCCCACTTCAGATATTCCTTTTAAATGCCAGCTGAGATTTTAAGTAGAAAAAGACCCATTTTTCATGCATGAGGAGTCTCGCAGCACTAAGATTAAAGCTCATAAAAAGATATTGGAGAGTGAAAACCCCTCTCCTATATACATTGTAGATTTAGAATTCACAAACATCAAGAAGATTGAGATCTTTTTGAAGGAAAAAAAACTTTAAGGAGGTCTCTATGCAGAGATATATGTACACATGGATAAGCCAGCGAACTGCCAGAAACTTTATCCATTTAATTAAATGAAACCTTGCTTTGTGAGATCTCCTTTTAAACTTCCTTTTGACCCTTACATGCAATATTGGAATTTGCATCAAATTTATTTTATAGCTGGGAAAGTAACCAACTAGAAAATCGATAAATTTCTTGAGATTGTCTAGAAAAGAAATGCTTTGGTAAAAGTCAAAATAACTAAATAAGATTACAGTGAGGAAACTAACAACGATGCTAAGAGATCTATAATAGTCTCTGGACTCAGAACATTAATAGAATTGAACAAGAAGTTCAAGTATATTATTGATAAACTCAGACTGCCGATAATATTCTCGATGATGGCAATGCTTTCAAATGACAAAGTTAATTTGTTCAATGAAAAATTCCTAGAGTTTATTGAATTTTTACAGATTTCAGACTACAATCGAACTGAAGATCAAGCATAATTAGCCTCATTTTTGATCGATAAAATGATAATTGGGGAGAAGTTTGATTATAAAAAGCAAAGCGATATTAACTACGTTACTGTATTCCAGAGATATAGAGAGGACAAAGAAAATGAAAATGACTTTTGCAGATCTAAGCAAAGCATAAATTTCTTAAGGTAGAGGAGATTATTTATCTCACCAACAATCGATTACTACTAGCCAGCTTAAGAGGATGAAAGTAATAGAGTCATTAGGAAATATCAAGATTATTTATCAAGATTTGTGAGAGTTTCATTTGTTAATGAGTATCTTGAGAAAGGCTTTTATTTTACTGAAAATATGGAATGGGTCCTAGGTTACATTCATCATGTATTATACAATGGTTTGTAGCTGGGCAAGTATATTCTTAGATTCCTTAGTTACTCGAATTCTCAGATTAAAAACCATTCATGTTGGATGATAGTCGAAACTCTTGATTCAATAACAGAATTTAATACCTAACTTAATGAGAATATGATCATGTCGAGCATGGGTAATTTCTCAAAGGAGTAAAATATTTTGAAAAGATATGCTAGAAGGGGTTAGTGCTTCTCAACCACTAAATTTATTGTGAATCTTGATAAACATGAAGCTTAACTCGGAATACCTGACATAAAGCGAAATGGATTCGTGTTTACTGATGGCTGCGGATATATCTCTCCTTAATTAGCTCAAATTGTAAGTGAGCAATTTGGTTATAAGAGAAACTCAGCTTTTCAAATAAGATTCGGAGGCGCGAAAGGGGTTTTGATGATTAAACCAGAGTTGAAAGGTAGAATGGTTTAAATTAGAGACAGTTAAATAAAGTTTCAGAGCAATGATTTTGGTCTTAATGTAGTTAGATGCTCAACATTCAGCTAAGGATTCCTTAATCGTCAGATTATAATACTCTTATCTAGCCTCGGAGTTAAAGAAGAAGTATTCCTAAGTCTTTAACAAAAGGCTAAAGAATATGCTCAAGTCCAAGAAATATATAAAAGCTTAATAAACAAAACGAAAAAGGCGATTAAAGCATACAAGTAAAGTCATAATAAGAATAGGAGTCTACCTTAGATATCACAATTAATTAACTTATCCCTTGGCCCAAGTAAATGGTTTGAACAAACTCTTAAAATGGCACTACTAACTGGATATAATATTCCTAAGGATCCCATTTTCAGTAGTATACTATACACAATGCAGTTATCTTCTTACATGAATCTAAAGAAAAAGGCCAGGATTATAATACCAAATTCGTGTGTCCTGTTAGGAGTCATTGATGAGACAGGTATTCTTGAGGAAAATGAGGTTTATTGCTAAATCAGGCCAGATAACTACTCCCTTAAAAGGAAGCAAGCACTTTGGGATCTGTATTCTGATGATAGTGTTGAGGAACCGAAACTAGTTAATGGCTCAGTAATTGTCACAAGGAATCCTTGCACTCATCCAGGTGATATAAGATTATTAGCCGCAGTTGATAGACCGGAACTAGCTCATTTATTCAATGTGATAGTATTTTCTTCAAAAGGTGATAGGCCTCAATGTAATAAAATGGCAGGTGGAGATTTAGATGGAGATGTTTACTTTGTTTGCTGGGACAAAATGCTACTTGACAATATAGACCCTAATAACATCGAGGAGCCAGCTAAATATGAAAAGCCCTAATTAATAACAGAATAACCTGCAGATACTTCGCATATTGCTGACTACTACATATTTTACTTACAAAGAGACGTTCTTGGCAAGTTGGCTAATATGCACCTGGCTTTATGTGATTAAATTGGAGTAGATGGACCTCTTAGACCAGAATGTGAAGAGTTGTCTGCAATGCAAGCTGTCGCAGTTGATTTCGCTAAGCATGGTGAATGTGTGCCTAAATAAAACTTTGAGCATCTTAGTAAATTGCTTGATGATTGGCCAGATTTTTTCGAGAAGTCCAATCAAAAAGCTAGAGTGAGTTAAGGAATTTTGGGGAAACTATACAGAGACATAAACAACGAGTCAGCTATAAGAGACTTTATGAAAAATCAATTTAAGTTCTAAGTTCTTTTCCAGTACGAACTAAATCATCAAATATTACAAAAGTGCTCTAATTTTAAGCTTCTCAACCACTACTTGCCAAAAGTATTCAAATCAATAGTAAAACCAATGGAAGTACAATTCAGATAACTTATGATTACTTTTAAGCTGTAAAGCGAAGCCTAGCTTTTCGCTTGCGACCTCAAGTTTAAACTATGCGATGAGCAGATGAATAACTTCTATAAGAATGAACCTGGATACAAATCTGAGGAATCACTAATCATTTTAAACAATAAAATCAGTCAAATTATCACTAAATTTCAGGAAAAGTTTAAGTCTCTAGTTAATGAGGCCAGAAATGAAAAGTTCGACATGCAGGCTGAGGAAAACATAGCAGTTGCTCTGTATCTCTGCACTTACTTTCATACTAACAATCAAAGCTGCAAAGTTTACTTATCTCAGCATATAGTAAGTATTAATTTGACACCTTATCAAATTCGCATAGGATGATTAAAACTTAATGGAATTCGTGACATTGTGGAATAACTATGAAAAAGAGAGAAGGTCAGATTTGAAGCCCAGCTACATCGAAAAGTATAAAAAGTTTGAGGGCTTTGTGGAGATCAGCAGACAAGTGGAGTCAAGTAATGAGTCTAGGAAACTGCAAAGGTTCCTTGAACTTAGGAAGTTCTTCTCATTTCCTTGGATAATTGCAAGCGATGTGCTGTTCTCTTAGAGGGACTTTTAAATTCATATCTACAAGTAAAAGCATCAGAGCTAAGAGCAATGAAAGAATGAACAAGCAACAAGCTATCGTATTTTATAATCATAATCGCCTCACATTAAATTAGATTTATTAATTAATTTTAATTGCATCACTTCTAATAATAATTACATTCGGAGGGGTTTTGGGGTTTTGGGGTTTTGGGGTTTTGGGGTTTTGGGG